TGGGTATTCTTAGGTAACCACAAAACACAGGTTAAGTTTAGGAAATTACTCCTGTTAGCCATACTGAAGTGGAACCAGTCTATTCCTGTTTTCTCAATTGACCCAGGTGGTTTTCCTTCCAATACAGGATCCACTTCAGGATCAGAGAATGTGTGACTGTCCCTGGGTCCCTTTCTGGATGTGTGGACACAGAATCAGAGGAGGGAACTATGAGGGTCTTATGTTTGTGCTTCCTGGGCTTGGTCTTGGCAACGTGACTTTTGTCAGGTGAAAGACTCAGGACAACCTTGCTTCTTTTTTTTTTGAGACTCCCGTTTCCTAAAACCTAAAGTGAGAGTGATCAGTCTCAATCTCTTATGGTGATTGAGTGCTCCACTCAACTTGGTGCATATTAAGCACAGAGTAAATAAACATCAGCTAGTGATGTTTTTCTAGAAATACCCCATAACTCTTTCACAGCAAGTCAAAAAACCAAACTCACCCTTCCACTGCAAATAGGTACCTGATTCCCTTAGCTGCCTTCCCGAGTCCTGCCAGCAAATCCTCTGCCTCCACCCCCTGATATTCCCTTCCACCTGAGGAGCCGCTTCTCTCTTGCCAGGCACATTTCAGCAGCTCCAAGTGTCCTTTCTTCTGCCCCCAAGCTCTGCTTGGAAGGCTTTGTTCTGGTAGCCAGCTGCTCCCATGCCACCCAGTGTCTCTTCCTCTCCTGTGTCTTGCTGCAGCAGCAAGTCTGCTCAGCGTGCTGTAGATAGCTGGCTCTTCCTCCTTGAAGAGGACTCTGGTGAATAGTGCTTGTGGTTTTTTTTTCGTGGCACCCACCCCACTGCAGTCCAGTACCATATAGACTGGATAAGTCTTTTTGGGTTAAAGGACTTGAAGACAGAGTGCTAACTGTTGATGGTAGAGATTGTGGGGGCCTTGGATGTGAAAATGCAGTATCAGCGTTATCTTAGAAACCAGAGGGGGCCAGGGATATTTAGCTCAGTGGCACCTGGGCACCTGCCTTGTAAGCACAAGGTCCTGAGTTCAATTTCTGGTACTGGAAACAAAACAAAATACCAAAAAACAGAAACTAGAGGACCCTTCCCCCACCTGAACCCTTCTTCCTCTAGGGTCCCTTAAAACTGGGTCAAAATGAATTGCCACTTTGCCAGAAGTTACCCAGGTCTTTCGTCATTAAGGTCATTGATACCACCTCTTTTTTTGGGGGGTCTCCTTTAGTCCTGCATTGGCTGTCTGTCCTTCCAAGAGACAAATCTGATCACATTGTTCCCTGCTTCAAGTTGCTTATCTGCTGAGTTGATGTTAGGCACCTCCTTTTAAGCTACCATGAAATAGTATGTCCACATAGCTTGTTGGGGAAAACACAAGCCCCTTCCACCCAAGCAGTTCTTAGCCTGGGCTTCATTGCTTCCACCTCAGCTCTTCCTTTTGGAATTTACCCACTTATCTCTAACAAGTATGCTGGTTTTTCTACTTTTTTTTTTTTTTTGGTTTAGGGCAGTATGTGTTGCTTCCCACCAGGATTGATGAGGATGAGGATGTGGATTACCTTTCTCTCATCTGCTTCCATTACCTTGTCCTTACCAACAGTTACTAGTAAATTTGATTAGATCTGTATTGCTTAGTCATTGGAACTATAAGAAAGAGGCACCAAATCAGATATATTTTCTTACCTGCCAATTCTGCTTTCCTTGGATTTAATATTCTTTGCTTGTTTTTTCTAGCTACTAAATCACCTGAAGGTTTCCTGCTAGTTGTCCTAGTTGTCTCCTTTTCCTCAGGCAGTTTTTTTCTTTCTTTTTGTTTGTTTTCTGAGGCAGAGTCTGGCTATGTCGTAACAGGTTGTCTTGAACTCACCATGTAGCCCAGGTTGGGCTTGAACTCAACGGCACTCCTCCTGCCTCAGCCTCTCAAGCTCTCAGGCAATTTAGATACAGCACAGAATGCATCAGTTTTGTCTTCCTGCTCTCTCCAGCACTAGCTATTGCTTCACCAGAGTCCTGCTGTCCTGGGAAATCCCACTCTCTCACCTGGGGCTGGGCTGAGTCTGGGGTGTCTCCTCTCCTTTACTGCTGGGTTTCTCATGTGCTGTATCCTGTGTCTTCCTCTTAGCTGGTTTATACCTTTGTTTTGGTGGAGCACATCCTTTAGTAACTTCCAACAAAGAGTTGTGAGAGGGTAAAGTTTTGAGATTGCAAAGTCTGAAAATAACTATTCTGTTGATCCCTGGCTGGCTGTGTTAGAGTTCAAGGTGAGAGGTCGTTTTTCCCTAATTTTGTGTGTGTCTGCATTCATGGCTTTGTGCATGCTAAGTTTGTATTCCACCACTGAAAATGAAATACATTCCCAGCCCAAGACTCTGGGATCTACCCAACTACACTTAAATCTTTTTTCTTTCTGAGACAGGATTTTGCTGTTATGCAGGCTGGCCTTGAACTTCTGGGCTCACACCATCTTCCCAAGTGGCTGGGACTACTACTGTGGCTGGCTTCTCCCCTGAATGTTAAAGGCAGTGCTGAGATTGTCTTTGAAGTTCCAGGGTAACTGCTCATAAGTCAGAAGCCATCTGATCCCTGATCTGTGGGTGATTGACTCTTTTCTCTGGAATCTTGCAGAATCTGTTCTCTGTTCCTGGATCTGAGATCTCAGAAGGGCAAGCTGTGGGGATAAGGGATGTTGACTCATCTGCTGCTTGCTGAGCAACCCTATCAAGAAGGAAGCTCTGCTGTGGAGTTTTACTTTTCTTGGATTATTTCCTTGGTAACTTTTCTCCTCTTGTTTCTGCCTTTTTTTTTAAATACCAGGACTCAAACTCAAGACCTTGCACTGGTGAGACTGTTTCTGTATCATTTTATGGGAGTCCCACTAGCCTGCTGTTGATGTCTTGAGCACACTTATTTTTTTCTTTTTCTTCTTCTCCCACCTCCCTCTCCCTTCTCCCTTCTCCTTTCTCCCTAGGCATTTCCTCAGCTTCTATCTTCCAGTTCTTTTGGGTTTCTTCCTTTGGTGCTTGCATGTATTTAGTTTTGAAGAGCTTGTTTTATTGCCCCTTGAATATTCCTTCTTTCTAATATTCTATTGTGACGTGGATCTAAGACCTCTCACTACCCTGAGAGTATTAGTGATGGCTTTTTGATAGACAGGTGGAGGCACCACTAAGCTAAATCCCCAGCCCTGGTGGCTCTTTGCTGTGTACTCTGCTTTCTGTGTCTGCTTCTCCCTGCTCAATCTTCTTGTGGGGTTTTTCCTTGCATGCTGCCTGGGTGACTCTGTGCTCTCTTTGAGGGCGGTGCCAACAGGTTGCTGAGAGCATCCAGCTTTAGGATCAGGGCGGTTCTTGGGGGACACCTATAGGTCAGGATCCCTGGGTCCTGAGTCTGAGGGTTGTCAGATTCCTTGGGAAGTCTTACTGTTCTGTTCCAAAGGAACAGGCCTGGCTGGTTACCTGATGAGAGCCTTGAGGACATACTTTCACTTAATTACCTGGTTTTCTGTTGTGCTTGGACCTACTCCTTTCCTAGAGGCTTTCTCTTGGCTGGACATACTTGAGATGGAGTTCCAGTGAAGCTCCTTCAGTTCCCTGCTCCCAACCCCTCAGCCCATTTCTCCCAGTGCCAGGGCCTGAGACCTGAGCCAGAAGGGTTCTTTCTTACCTCATGAGTCTGCCCAGATCTGTTCAATATCTGCCTATCTAGAGTGTGACTGCCCCTCATTCATTCTCTTTGTCCTGTTGGGTTTGAGGCCTTAAAAATCCCTCATTTTTTGTTTAGGGTAGGGAGTTCCAAGACCAGACTACCGTCCTTACCCAGGTACTCTTCCAGGGCTACAGACTCTAGGAAGCCCTTGTGGCTCTGGTCATGCTGGAAGAAGGTGGCTTTGGCTGGATTACCTAGCCGTTTCCTGAGACTGTCAGCCTGTCTCTCCTCCCTAATGTGAACTTCGTGTTCATGGTGTGGGCTGAGCTATGACTGCTGAGTCCTGTTGCCTCTTGGCACTGAGCTCTCCAGCTTCCAGCCCTGCTTCTGTCCTGCTGTTCTTGTGAACCCTGCCCTGCAGCTAAGAGAGCCCAGGGTCATTCTTTGGGGGGCCCCACTGCATTTTAGCTTCTGTTGTGCACAGGCTACCCTGAGGGCCAGGGCAGGTTAGAGCTGCTATGGGTCCCACGCTCCTGCCTGTGTGACCTGGGAGTATTATGTCCTGGTCCTCAGGGCCTCAGGGTAGGCCACTCATTTCTTTAATTTCTTCTTCCTCATGACCACCGTAGGGTGGGGGACATTGGCCATTTTCTAACTCCTGAGGAGACAGCTGGCTAGGCTGGGCCAGGACCCTGACCTCTGACCTGGGATCTCTGACCTCGGCTGGGATGTGACCTCTGGGTTCTGGGCCACAGGGGCCGGGGCTTTAACAGCTGGTTCCCCCCAGGTCCTTCCTCAGATCCCTGTGAAGAGTGGTGGTCCCCATGGGGCAGGGGTCCTCGGTGAGTGGCTGACCCCCTCCCCACCCGCATCCTGGGAGGCCCCTCCCTCTCCAGATGTACAGTTGGGAAGGGAAGGTGGGCAGTGGTTGGGCTGTGGGGTGGGGGTGCTTACTGGAGTTACCCTCATCCCCTTCCCTTAGGGGTACACTTGGAGGGTCCATTCATCAGCCCAGAAAAGCGGGGTGCGCACCCCGAAGCCCACATCCGCTCTTTTGAGGTCAATGCCTTCCATGATTTGCTGGCCACTTACGGGACCCTGGACAACGTCCGCATTGTAACGCTAGCCCCTGAGCTGGGCCGCAGCCATGAAGTGATCCAGGCACTGACAGCTCAGGACATCTGCGTGTCTCTAGGTAAGGAGGGCACCTGAAGTGGTTGGGCCTTTCTGGGGTCCTGGGCTGATGCATAGTCTGACCCTCAAGTCCCCCTGACAGGGCACTCAGTGGCCCACCTGCAGGCTGCAGAGGAAGCAGTACAGAGTGGGGCCACCTTCATCACCCACCTCTTCAACGCCATGCTGCCTGTGAGTGCCACCCCGGCTCCTAGGTGGGTGGGGACTCGGTGGTCCCTGCTGTGAGTCAGTAGTTTCCTCCTGTGCCACCCAGTTCCACCACCGTGACCCAGGCATTGTGGGCCTCCTGACCAGTGACCGACTACCCCCGGGCCGCTGCATCTTCTATGGGATGATCGCTGATGGCATACATACCAACCCCGCTGCCCTGCGCATTGCCCACCGGGCCCATCCCCAGGGTGAGCCTTTGGGCAGGTTTGGGCAGGTAATATGGAGACCAGCAAGGTCCTGAGGCACCTTCTTCCGCAGGGCTGGTACTTATCACTGATGCTGTCCCTGCCCTGGGCCTGGGCAATGGCCATCACACTCTGGGACAGATGGAGGTAGAGGTGGAAGGGCTCGTGGCCTGCATTGCAGGTGAGTGCCCACTGCTCCTGGAAGAACAGCCCCTTGGCCCCTCCACACAGGGAAGCAAGAACCTCAGTTCCCTTTGCTTGCACCCTGGGACCCCAGATGCACAGTCCCCTGAGCCTGGCCTCTCTATTGTCAAGGGACCAAGACACTGTGTGGCAGCATAGCCCCAATGGACGTCTGTGTCCGACATTTCCTCCAGGCCACAGGTCAGTGGGCTATACAGGGTGGGTACATGTGTATGTCTGGGGACAGAAGCTGGAGGGGAGGTGGGGATGATGAGAGTCCTGCACCAACTTCCTTCATTTGCCTTGTCGAGGGGCTTCCAGGGATGTTGAGTGGACACTAGGAATGTGGACAAGGCAGAGAGGAGGGTAGCAAGCAGCAGCTTACTCAAGCTTGGCTGGTGGGCAGTGAAGCCAAAGACCCGAGATGGAGCAGGGACCCTTATGCTGTCCATGGAAGGGCCAGGGCCAGGCCTATAGGATAGCAGGGTCAGCACAGTGGGCAGGTGGAGTTTAAGAGTATCCTGGGGTAGACTGTGCAGGGACCTCCTGAGGGAAAAGCAGAGGGTAGGTATCTGACGAGGCTGGAGGACACCAGGGTACTGGTTAGGGCAGATGGTCTGGGAACAAGGGGCAGCAGCAGCAGGGGTCTGCCTGGGCGTCAGGAGAGGGCTGCAGTCTGGTTCTGGGGTAGGGAAGCAACAGGGAAGAAACTGTACTTGGCTTCTTGATTAGGGGGGCAGAGTGCAGAGACCCGTGTGGCTGCTGGCATGGTGGGTCTGGGCATTGTTTTTTTCTTTCTGTACTGGGGATTGAACTCAGCACCTTGTGCTTGCACGGCAGGCGGCAGCACCACTGAGCTAAATCTCCAGCCCTGTTGGTTCTTTACATGTAGAGGGCTCTCCATGGAACCCAGGAGGTGGTTAAGGGTTCCTGTGGACAAAGTGCTTTGTCAGGGAGGGGAGAGTCTTTGTGGGGCCAAGAAGGTAAGTGGGATAGGGAAGAGAATAGTAAGCAGAATCCCCAGCTTCAGAGGCCAGGATTGTCCTCCCTTGACCCCAGACCCCAAAACTGGGGGCTTGGAGCTGCACATGTTGTGGGGGATGGGGGCTATCACCAATCTGTGTCCCCAATCAGGCTGCAGCGTGGAGGCAGCCCTGGAGGCTGCATCTCTGCACCCCGCCCAACTGCTGGGGCTGGAGAAGAGCAAGGGGACCCTGGACTTTGGTGCTGATGCAGGTAAGGCTCCATGAAGGTGAGGCCCATGCAGGGTCTGGGACAAGGCCCACGTTGGAAGGTCTTCCCTTTATTCTGGGTAACTGGTGTCCTTGCCTGCCACAGTCTCCATGGGCCCTCCCTTTCTGTTAGCCAGTCTTCTGGCATTCGTGATAAGGTCGGGCTGGGCGTAGTGATGCTGCCTGTACTCCTGGCACCTGGGAGGCTGAGGTAGGAGGACTGTGGCTAATTGGAGGATAGCCTGGGCTACATAGTAAGGTCAAGGCCAGCCTGAACTACATTGCCAGACCCTGCGTCAAAAACAAACAAACGGGGCACTGTCCGTTGTTCCTGACTGTGAGGAGTTAAGGACCTTTGCTAGTCTGGCGATGGGTCAGGATGTCCTGCACAAGTGGTATCCATGGCCACAGTTTCCCTACCAGGCTTATCTGGAATTGATTCCACATGGGGGTTGGGAGGCCCCCTTTCAACCACTCTCACCCTCTGGCTCTGCCCCAGACTTTGTGGTGCTTGACGACGCCCTCCATGTCCTGGCCACCTACATCTCAGGTGAGCTGGTGTGGCAGGCAGAGGAAACCAGGCCATGACCTCAGACCTCGGCTGGAGAGGACGCCTGGCCAGCCCCAGCTGGTCACTGATCGGGAGGGCATCTTCAGGAGCTGGTCTCCAGGGAACAAGTGGGAAGCCCCATCCCACACTGGCATTCATAGCCCTGAGCTAGCAGCCATCCTGGAGGTGATGGCTTGCATAAATGAGCAGCGGGACTTGCCTTGTCTCCTGGTTTTGCTTGTGTTTCATTTGGGGCCTTTGGGGAAGGTGTTTGCATCTTGGGGCAAGGATGGTTGTATTCCTCAAAGGGCTTCTCTCTGAGTCCTGATTTGCCTGAAGCCTGAAGGCCCACAGGAAAATGTTAAGAACTGGGGGGGGAAGGGGGTTAGTGCTGCAGCCACTTCCTGTTGGAGGGCTGCAAGAAGGGGCTGTTGACTATGACAGGTGGCTTCAAATGTTTGCTCAATGCCTCTGAGCTAGCTGGGCAGATGGGAGGCCTGTTAGCCTGGTTCTGGATTTGGACACAGCTCCAGGCACTCTGCACTTCAGAAGGGAGCCTGTGCTGTTTTGGGACTCCAGATCACCCAGTGCTGAGTGCAGGAGTCAGTGGCCTGAGGGCCTCCAACTTGGGCCCAGGAACCCTGGACACTGCTTTCTAGCCTGCCTGGCTTGCCCAGCTCTCAGTTTTATCATCCAGCACCTTTTTGGTAATTGAGGTTCCATTTCCTTTGGTGCTGTCTCAGCAATCCCTTCTCCTAACCTGATCATTGCATGTGACAGGCTCTCTTCACCTGGTGTTTGGTGGCTGCCCTGCCTGGCACTGCTATCTCATAGTCTCACCATTGCCCCTGCAACACTGCCCCCTAGTACTCAGGCAGCCCTCCTGCCTCAGCCTCCCAAGTGCTGGGATTACAGGTGTGCACCAGCATGCCTGGTGCCATTAGCATTACTTGAGCAGTACACCCAGCTTGGCTTCCCCCCACTTGGAGAGGATGAGCGGTCAGGCTCCTTGGATAGCTACAAGTTGGCAGACTTCAGTGCCCTCTTGGATCTGAGGATGGTTCTGACGTGGGGTTTAGATGCCAGGGAGTGGGGTCAGATCTGGGAATTTTGTCTTACACTTCCCTTTTGGGTCCTGGAGTCAGCGACCACCCCTTTCAATATGGTAAAACTTCCTCTGTGTGGGAAGTTGCAGACAGATGTTCCAGGACATTGTTGAACATGGTTCCTGTCAAAGGAAATGTCTCCAGACCCAAAGCAATAAAAATGGTCTCTGGCTTCCTTTCACTCGTGTTTGGGGGCTAATGGCATGAGGACAACTGTCGGGGAATGGGCCACCCACAGGGACACATGGGAACCAGGTCCTGGCCCACTGGTTACACACTGTCAGCCCAAGATAATGAGCCTGCAGGATGCCTGGATCTGCCCATGCCTCATGCCTTTCTCGTGGCTGACCAGCTTCTGTTGGGTGCCCGGTGCCAAAGGCAGACATAAAATGTGGGCCATGCACCCAGCGCCAGGCAGCCCTCACTCCATGTGCTTCACGAGTGTTAACTCACTTCATCCTTCTGCCGGAAATTCAGAGGGGTCCTCTTTGTCTCCCTGACTTTGGGTACATAGAGGAGCTGTCAGGTGGGAGGTCAGAAGGGTGGGGAGTCTGTGCTGGGACTGTTCCCACAAAGCCCAGGGGCCCAGAGCATGTGTTGATGGGGTGAAGACAGCCACGTAGATGGAAAGGGGTTGGCGTGGTTAGGGGTATGGGAGTGTGGGCAGGAATCCTGGTGCTGTTGTGGGAGTTTGGATTTTATTTGAAGTGCAGGGACAGTGTGGGTGGGGTTGTAATGGTTTTTATTTTTATTTTTTCCCCAGCACCGGGGATCGAACTCAGGACCTTGAACTTTGCAAGGCAGGCGCGGTGCTAAATCCCTGGCTAAGTTTTATTAAATTTTGAGGCAGGGTCTTGCTATGTAGATCAGCTTGGCCTTGAACTCACTATGGAGCTCAGGCTGGTCTTGAACTCACAGTGATCCTCTTGCCTCACCCTCTTGATTGCTGGGATTACAGGAGTGCGCCACCATGCCCTGCCTATTCCAACCTTTTAGGTTTTTTTTTTTAATTTATTTTTTCCCAGCCTTTAATTTTTATTATCTACTTATTTAGTGGGGAGAGGTTGAGGCACCAGTCTCAGTATGTAATCTCAGCTGGCCTTGGCAGGTCTGGGATTTAGGATTCTGCTGCCTCATCCTACCCAGTAACTACTGCTCCAGGCTCCCATTTTAACCACTTGTAAGTGTACAAATCAGTGGCACTAAGCGCACACTTTCTCCAGCCTGTCACATCATCCGTTTCTGGGATCTCTCTTCACCTTCAAGGGAGATTATCCTGGTTGAGCTTTTGTCCCGCATCCTGTGGCAGCACTCCCTGCGCCTGCCCCTCCTCTGTCCTTAGAACTGAGCTGGGAGGCTTGGAAAGCACAGCCTGCAGTACCGCTTAGGTCTGGCTGAGAGTATGAATTCCCTGGCTGTGGGTGACTGGGTGCGAGGCAGTGCGGTTGCTCGCGGGGCACCTAGCCAGGCGCCCTATCTGGCGCGGCCCAGTGGGCGTCCGGGAGTTGCGGCTCGTGTATCCCGGAAGCGACCCCTGGCGGCGGTTCTGTTCCGTGAGTAGCGGTGCCTCTGGTGCGTAGGGCGGAGCCATGGGTGATGAGGGGTTGAGTCCCGATGCTGAGGACCCAGTCAGATGCTTCTACCTTCCATACTCATTGTCCCAGCTACCGTGGCACAGCGCTGCGGGCTCGCGTTCGTGGCCAGGCCGTGATTGGAGAAGCTGCAGTCCCAGGATAGAGCCGCCTGCTGCGGGCGTGGCTTCGTCCTTAGACCCAGCAGGAGGGCTTGTGGACTCCACTGCGCCCAGCTGCGCTCACTGCAGTCTCCCTGCATCAGCTTTTGTCTGGTGTGAGGTGGGGTTGGTGACCCCTTTCCCCTCTGGACCTTTTCTTCCCCACAGCCAGATCCTGCCCTTTCTATCCTAATCGCGTCCTGGTGTTTCACCACGTGGGGTCGCTCGTTTGCAAGTGACACGAAGTTAGCAAGCAAGTGGAGAGCTTCCCAGGTAGGGTCGCGTGAGTCAGTCTCCTGTCATGAAAAGTGCTGGAGTCCTCGATGGCAGATGTCTTACTATGGGACAGCCCCATTCCCACCCTCCACCCCCACAGCTGACTCGCCCCCGGGTCAGAGATGAGCAGTTCTGGGGACCCAGGTACTCTAGGTCAGTCTTCTTGGCTCTGTGGTGGTTTTGTCCTGTGTGACCCCCAGAGGCCCGAGGCAGCCCTTCTGTGAACTTCCACTTGCTGCTGTATCAAGTTACGGCAAATCCGGTGGTTTCAAATAGCAGAAGTGCCCAGGGTGGTGGCGCATGGCTGTAATCCCACCTGTCAGGAGGCTGAGGCAGGAGGGTCGTTTTGAGTTCGATGCCAGCCTGGACTACATTGTAAATTCAAGATCAGCCTGAATTAAAGAGCAATACCCTGTTTTTTAAAATTAAAAGTTAAAACTAAATAGAGGTTTATGGTTTTATGGTTTTGGAGGTTCACATCAGAAATAGGTCTCAATGGGCTGATATCAAAGTGATGACAGGTCTTTGTTTCTCCCCAGAGGAGTGGCAGGGAATCTACTTTCTGGCTTGTTCTACTTCCTGGAGGCTGCTGGCTCCTTCCCTCTCGCTTGTATCTCTGCAACCATGCCTCTTCCTCTTTTGCTTTCCATTCTTGAGTGACCTTTGTGGCTGTATTGCCCACCCACACCACAGGACAACCCTGGCTACTCTCCCTGTATTAAGGTCATCTGAGTAGCAACTGTAAACCTGCCTCCTTCCCACAGAGCATTGGTGGCGAACCTTTGGCACATGTACCACAGCAGGCACACAGAGCCCTCTCTGTCAGCACAGGAGCCAAGTTGTCCCAGCAGCTGAGCATTGGAGAACAGTTTTTTCTAAACTAAAAAATCTCAGGATTCAGGTTTAATTGTAGTGTTGGCACTTTGGGATAAATGAGTTTTGGATGATAGTGTAGGCACTCAGTCTCTAAAAGGTTCGCATTCCCTGCCATAGAGTGTAGCGTATGCACAGGTTAGGGGGAATTAGGTGGTGAACATCTTTAGTGAGGCTGTTACTCTAACCTGAATACTTTGTACAGAGACCTGGGCAAGAGTGCTCACTCTCCGGACTAAAGAAGACACTACTTCTGTCCCAGGTTTTGGTTTAGAAGAAAAATACAAACAAATAAGGAAATACCGCATTTTTATCATCAGTGTATGAAAGTTCTTGTTTTCCTACATTCTTACTAACATTAGATGTTTTCAACCTTTGAGATTTTAACCAGTTTTTTTACTTTACAACTGGGGAAGTTGAGGTTTGAGGAAGGCAAGTTAAACTTGCTTGAGATCTCATGCAACTTTCTGCTTCCTGACTCCCAGTCTGGTTTCTTTACTTAGCAGTGTTTATAAGGGGTGGGGATGTGAATTCACCCACATGGCTTTGAAACCACTGGGTCACTTTTTTACCCATCCAAGCACCTGCAGCTATAAGCAAATACATATTGGGTGCTGTGAGCATAGTGACCAAGGACCAGGGGGCAGAGGCTGGTGTTGTTTGAGAATCCCCTTCCTCTCATCTAGCTGGTCTCCCTGCCTCCCTGTTTGTCCCTGTGATCCCTTCTCTAGACCCTATTGAGAAGCTGCAGGAGAGTGTAATACAAAACAGCTGGCCTCATTGCCTGGCGAGCTCTTCCCTGGCTTGATAATTCAGTACCCTTTTTAGCTTGCTTCTCTGTTCTAGTTCCTCCCGTCTCTGCCTAAATGCTACCAGGTGGGAATCCTGACCTGCCCTTGGCTGGCCATGTTGAAAGTAGCCCTCGTGATGCTACTGCAGATGGATATAGCGGGTGTGATGGTTTATCTTTTTTATTATGCATTTTTTAGTACATGGTTGGTATACATAATGATTACATTTATTGTGGGGAATTAGTACATGTGCATAACTCATCTTAATTCATTTTTTGGTACTGGGGCTCAAACTCAGAAACTTGTGCTTTCGAGGCAGGCAGCAGCACCACTGAGCTAAATCCCTGGCCCAACACATCTTTTTTTTTTTGGTACCGGGGTTGGAACTCAGGTCCTTGCGCTTGCAAGGCAGGCCACCGAACCGCTGAGCTAAATCCCCAGCCCCCAACACAATTTAATTCTTTTTATCTCCTCCCATCCCTCTCTGCTCCCTCCAACTTTTGATCCCCTCCCTATTTGAAAAGTTTTATTTCTTTTTTTAATGAAAAGTTCTATTTCAGTTTTCCTTCAGTTCTCTTTCATTTTGAGACAGGGTCTCCCTATGTAGTTCAGGCTGGCCTTGAACTTTAACTTGTAGTTATCCTCTTGCCTTCAGCCATATGAGTGCTGGGATAATAGGTGTGCATCACCATGCCTGGTTTTGATTCGTTTTTGTTGTTGTTGTTGTTGTTGTTTTGTTTGTTTGTTTTTTGAGGCAGGGTCTCTCTTTGTAGTTCAGTCTGGCCCTGAACTCACAATGTAGCCCAGGATGGTCTGGAACTCGTGGCGATCCTCCTACCTCAGCCTCCTGAGTCTGGAATTACAGGTGTGTGCCACCACGCATGCCTGGCTTGTTTTGTTTTTTTGATACCAGGGATTGAACTCAGGACCTTATGCTTTCGAGGCAGGCATGGTATTGCTGAGCCCTGATTCTCTTTTTATTTTTTGGTACTGGGGATCGAACTCTGGTCCTCGCGCTTGCCAGGCAGGCGGCAGAACCACTGAGCTAAATCCCTAGCCTAACTGATTCTCTTTTTAAGTCCCCCTCACCTCTTGTTCCTCTTCCCATTTGAAAAAGATTTCCTTATTTCCTATTACTTATCCTTTATTTTGCTCTTTATTCATATTTTGGGTTTCTCATATAGGAGAAATCATATGATATTTAAACTTGTGTGTCTGATTTATTTCACAACTGTATGATCTTGAGGTGCATAGTTTATCTCTTCTGAAATTATAAAAGGCATCACAGCTTCCAGCTTTGGTGTGACCTGTTTTTTTTCCTTGCATCACTTACTCTAGGGAGAGATGGTTGCCCTAAGAATTAACCTTTTTGGAAGTGGCTTCTGCAGCCTAGCTCAAGCCTTCAGATGTCTCAGCCCTGAGTGAGCCTGAACCAGACAACCTGATCTGGCCCCTATCTGGTTCCTGATTCCCAGAAACCATAAGATAATGCATGTCTGCGGTTTGGGGGCAATTCGTTTCAAAGCAGTGGGAATAGAATACCCTCGCTGTGAGCCCTAGTCATGTCCACATACCATGATATTGTGGAATTCATATGTGCATATCATCAGTGCACAGAGGTTCCTGTATCCCACAGGAGATGGCACATGCCAAGTGCAGCCAGTGTACTATACATGCCAGGCAGCCCCCTACCCCATCCTGTTCTGGGCATCCTCTTTCCCTTCCATGACCTCACAGTGTCTGGCCAAGCCACTGCTTACTTGGCTATATGCTGTCCTTCAAACACAGACAGGCTTTGGGCAGGGAAGGGAGAAATAAAAGCAGGGGACAGACCCCCTCTTTTCTCCAGCCTGGGTGCCAGACCATGTGAGAACATCTTCCCTGGTGTCTGTTGTCCTGGGAAGGGCAGCAGACCCATCCTGTTAGGGAGGCCTCCTCACCAAAGCAGGAAGAGTTTCCTGGCCAGGCCTGGCCTGGGTCTCACCTTTTGGCTGCCATTAGGTCTCCAGAAGACTGAGTTCCGTCCTTCCTTGGCTTTCTGCTGTGACCTCCCTGTTGTCCCTCTGCTGTTAGCTCAGCTACCTTCTTCAGGGTGATGG